GGGGGGGCAGTATGGGGGCTATGTGTGTGTGTGTGTGTGTGTAAGGGTAGAGGGGGGGGCTTTTTTAAATAATATATATCTTTATTTATTTAATTAATAAAAACAAATATTCTATGTCCCCCCTCCCTTCTTACCTTTATTGAGGAGGAGGGGGGACATATTTCGATCCCTGGTGGTCCCAGTGGTGATTCCCTGGTGGTCCCAGTGGTTACAGTGAACTCTAGCCCGCGCTCCCGGGCTAGAGTTCACTCTCGCGAGACTTGGAGCGTTGCCGTGGTAACCGCGGCAACGCTTTAAATCCCGCGAGAGGAGGACCCGGAGGAGCTGCAGTCTGAGCTCCGGGTCCTCTCTCACTCCCTCTCCCTCCCCCGCCGGCTGTCAGCACAGTGCCTGCGGACCGGGGAGGGAGATCTCTGATCTCCCCCCCGGTCCGCAGGCACATTGCAGGGCTGACAGGGGAGGGAGAGGGAGACCGGCGGATTTCTCGGGGGGGGGCAATTGCCCCGTTGCCCCCCCCCTGGATCCGCCAGTGGTCTGCATACATCAAGTGTAACTTGACCTATCAAAGGAAGATCTGTACAACCAGTAATCTGTGCTTGAGACATAACAAAGTGTGTTCTTCGAGTAACCTGTCTTTAATGTGTTGAGTAATGATCGACAGAGGTTGAACATTTATGTTGTAACCTAGACAACGATGTATATAGTACTGGGCTGGGGGTAGTATAAGAAAAAGTTTTCAGTTCAATAGCGCAGAGAGGTAGGAAGGTATGCTATCAGGTATATGTATATATGCATAAATCTCAATGATCTGAATAACCATCCTATTGTGAGTCTTAGACGAAAGCAGGAACGAAGAGAGGAGGGTGGGTGTGAGGACAGAAAGATATAGGACTACGCAAAGACTCTGTCTGGAGGGAACATAGTTAGGATGGATCATGACAATTTAGGATCCTTTTTGTATCCGAATCATGGGTCCTTCGGGTTTTCTTCCAATGCAAGGGAATTAGGAGGTTGGCGGCTGACAGTAGGTGTGTGATCAACACTGACGTGTGTCTAGGCAGTGCCATTTGGAATAAATAGAACAGCACAGGCCTCGGGCTAAGTGGGATATGGACCCTGGCAATGGTGTGGAGAAGTTTAGTTATGTGTTCCCAATATTTAGCAATTTTTGTGCATGTCCATCAGGTGTGAGTTGTAGTGCTATTATCCTGATAACAACGCTAACATTTGTCGGATGTTGTTGGGAACAGGGTGTGTAAATGAGCTGGCGCGTAGTGCCAAGGTATAAAACGTCTCAAATGCGGTTGGAGAGAGCCCTGGTTGAAATAGAGGGTTCTGGGTTAGCGGATATATAGGAGATGGGTGTGTCAAGATCGATTTTAGATTTCTCATGCTCATCCAGCCTCTCAGGGTGGGAATAATAGTTGGGTGAGTGACGTGTTGTGGGTGTACAAATGCCCTGCCCAATTTATGCCAGGAAATTGTGTATATCGGTATCCGGAACATTGAGGCTTCCAGTCTCACTCATTGTTTTGTGGTATTAGGGATTGACCACTAGTAAACCCTTGTTAGACATACTGCTTTTTGATATGTTTCATCGTTAGGAGGTCCCAGCCCCCCTAGGGATTTAGGCCTGGCCAGGGTGAGGAAAGGGATGTTTATCAGCCCATACGAATGAAGTAAACAGTTTTTTTATATTATGTGAAAAAAGATTTTGGAAAAGAGATTGGAAGCGCTTGTAGTAAGTATAGAAAGCGCGGAAGCACATTCATTTTTAAGATATTTACCCGGCACAACCAATTAAAGTGTGGTTTGTGCCATTGCTTGAAATCGGGTCACTTCTTGTATAAGTGGTGGGAAATTGAGCTCATAAGTCTTGCTGGTAAGCAAAACTCCCAAATATTTAATGACCATTGGGGCCCATTTAAAGAGATAATTTTGCGAGATGTCTGTTTTGGTATCTGACGTTATGTTTAGTGCCAGGAGTTTACTCTTGGCAAAGTTAACTTGAAAGTTTGAGAATTCGTTATAGCTTGTGATTTCTTGGAGGAGGTGTGGCATTGTGTCTATTGGATTGGAGACCTTGTAAAGCAGGTCTAAGCAGGGCTTTAGCTAGCAAGTTTCCACAATTGCCCCCTTGTGTGTAGTATTTATGTTTGGTTAGTAATAACTTTAAAAAAAAAAATAATTATTTATATTTTATTGTAGCATATAGAAACCATACAGACTGTGGAAGGCATATAATGCTAATTTTTTTTGTGCAGGCAAGGAAAATCATGAACAGCTACACATGTCAAGTGATATCAAGTGATATATAAAATACAATGCTGTGAGACTGTCATAAGTCTAGTTCTTTTCAATTTAACATTGCACTTTTTAGTATGAGTAGCCTATACTCTAAAGTAGTTTGCTTGCAATGGGGGAGGGGGAGGGGGAGGGAAGAGAGAAGGTTGATTCGCAGGAGAGAGAAATTATGGAGAAACATTGATTAGCAAGAACAAATAACATTGAAATAGGTTGTAGTAAACTGAAGACACTCTATATTAGCAGTGTGAGCGTCCGAGGGTTGTTAGAACTGTCCCTGTATCGGAGACGAATCTCATGTGCCGACTAGGTTTGACTCTGCTGCCGCGGTTCTGGCTTTCGGGTAGAAGGGTCGGACATTTCTCACATCCCACATCTGGGTCGATGGTTGGGGGTCCGCACCTGGACTGTTTGCCAGTAGGGCCTCTGGGGTAGGCAGTTCCAGTGTCCTGAAGAGGTTCCCTGCGTCCGATTGGTGCTGTAGCTGGACTCTCTTCCCGTCGTGGAGCACAGAAAGCTTGCGGCTAGGACCCCAGCGGTATACCACTTCGTGATATCTCAAGTGCTGGGTTACTGGACGGAGTGATTGCCGCCAGACCATGGTGGATCGCGTCAGGTCATTAAAGAAGGTAAGGTCGGCTCCTTCTAAATGGTACGAAGGAGCGTCGTGGGTGGCTGGGAGCCCTGTCCGGGGCCTTAGCTGGCTTTGGGATCCTGAAGTAGTTGTCCAGCGGGATCGCTTTGGCTTTGGATGGTGTGAGTATGCTGCTTAGCAGGCGGCGGAGGTAGTGAGGGATTTCGGAGTCCGTAACATCCTCAGTGAAAAAAACCCGAATCTTGAGATTGCGCTGTCTCTTGGTGTCTTCCAGCACTGCTATTCTGCCCTCCATGAGGAGATTTGCTTGCTTGAGCTTGTCCAGCTCAGACTGCTGAGCATCTTGCCGGCATTGTGCAATGTCACCAGAGTTTTCCAGCGATTGCAGTCGAGCAGTGATTACCCCCAAGTCCTTCTGGACCAGTGCAATGTTTGCAGCAAATAGGGTCTTCATTTCCCTAAGAAAGTTTTGTATATCAGCTTTGCTCGCCGGCGTTTGTTCCAGGCTGAGGGTAGATCTTGCCTGTTGCCTTTCAGGTGGGTACTGAGGATCAAGGTAAGCCTTTGTTGTACCCTGTATTGTGGGGTGTGGGACGGCTTCTGTTTTCACTTTCTTCAGAACAGCTGTCGATGTCCCCTATCTTGACGCCGCGGCGTCACCCCAAGCAGAGTGCCGATATCTTGGGAAGAGGAGGTCATATTGATTCTCCTTTGTTTAGTTTTCTTCCCCATAGTGTCAGGCTGTCTTTTGGGTGACAGTCAGGCAATTTTATCCGATTTATCGTTGTTATTATCAGTGTTCTCGCCGAAGCTCTAGGCATGTGCGTCTGCCTTGTTCGCTGGCTACCTCTGCCCCCCCTGGTTAGTAATAACTTTTGCTTTGTTTGGG